ACTGTCCCTTACCTGCTCTCCATACCCTCTTAAACCATCTCTACTGAACTGTCCCTTACCTGCATTCTACATCCTCCCCCACCATGTCTACAGAACTGTCCCTTACACGCTCTCAACATCCTCCCCTACCATCTCTACTGAACTGTCCCTTACCTGCTCTCCACATCCTCTACTTCATCTTCCCAGTTTTCCTCACCAACTTCAGCTGATGATCTGAGAAAAATGGCAGATATGAACTAGAAAAGTAACATTTGCAAAGCAAATGCATAATGTTTACCTTCGGATATGGTCCGCTCTTTTAATTCTTACTCGTATATGGTGACAGGAGCCTAAATGCCCACTATGTAATTGCAACATTATGTAACCCAACACCAGTTACTATGCTGACAGACGTCAACAAAAGAGGCCATTGGCTAGGTCAGAGGTTAGTGTTTGGAACAGAAGAAGAAGAGGAAGAAGAAATGGAGCAAAAACAATATGTTTTCCTTCGGTAAACATAATTATCAATCTAGTACTACGGTCTAGAAGCGAGTACTGTTGGTATTTCAATACCTCAGAAAATAAATTCTAATGCCTAAATCCATTTAGTAAAAATTTGCAATACGTTTAAGCCTCATCACAGTGCAAACTGTTACACGACTTTCCTCACTCCACCCAGGTGTAAAATGGGTACCTGACTTCAGTTGGGGAGGTAAAAGGCAGTGGAAGGAGAGGGATGGGCTCCACCTTCCAATACCGTACCCTAGACACAGTGGATTAGACCCACTGCATGGGGGGGTCCCGACAACTCTCTACGCTGAATTCGGTAACCTATCGATTATGCTTTACGATAAATTCCAAGTGGCTACAACGCATTACGTAGAATTAAAACAGCGAATATGCTCTACACAAAATGTGCCAATTATGCTCTATGTTGAATTAAAGCAGTCCCTCTATGCTCTACGTAGAATTAAAATGGCTGATTACGCTCTACGGAAAAGGGCATGCGGGCCCCCTTTAGACCCTCAAAAAGGCTACAGGACTATTTGACCTTCTTTACCAAACTTACCCAGCCTGCTCAGCCAGTCTCTCCATGGCCTGGGCGACCCCTGGTGGCAGTCGCTCGCTGGGAAGGTCACAACTCCGCGCCCACTGTGCCGCTTTCTCCATGTCGTTATAACCCACTAACAGGTCCACTAGCTGTTCCTGTAGGAAGGGGCTGTCCCCTACAGATTGCTATGGAACATAGTAACACTAGTTCAGGGGTGCCAGAGTATACAGTACAATTTTACAGAATACAGTGCAATTTTACTAGTGACGTTGAATCACATGACCTGGACGCCGCTGACGGAGCATACTCACATCTTTCTGTGTTTTTTGAGCAAATTTGGACCGTTCTTGTAGATAGACCTTTAGTCAAATCACTACATACTACACACAGGGCATGTGAGTCAGCGACGTCCGACATCTTGAAACTCAAGGGAAAGGGGGGAAAGTCGGGTCCAAGTCACGTCATCCAACGTCACTAGTAAAATTGCACTGGATTCCGTAAAATTGCACTGTATTCTAATACGATTGCACTGTATTCCGTAAAATTGCACTGTATTCCGTAAAATTGCACTGTATTCTAATAAGATTGCACCGTATTCCATAAAGTTGCACTGTATATTAATACAATTGCACTGTATTCCATAAAATTGTACTCTATACAGTACTTGTAAATCGCACTGTATGCCGTAAAATTGCACTGTATACTCTGGCACCCCTGAGGAAGGGGCTGTCCCCTACAGATTGCTGTAGAACACAGGATTATAGATTATATCTATAATAGATGGTAACAGGAAAGATTTAAACTGATACGTGTACACACAGTAAAGTGTATTATGATAGATGGCATTTCAGTAAGACTATGACACTATGACAAATGGCCAAGTGGCTAGCCTAGCCAGCAGTTTTAAAGGTTGCAGGTTCAATCCCTGGCTAGACGTTGTGTCCTTGAGAAAAGGCACTTTACACAACTTTTCTCACTCCACCCAGGTATAAACAAGGGTACCTGACTTTGGTTGGGGAGGTAAAAGGCAGTGGAAGGAGAGGGATGGGCTCTGCCTTCCAATACCGTGCCCTAAACACAGTGGAGTAACAACCCACTGTATTTTGTACTATGTATGTGTAAAAATATGTGTATAGATAATAATCTATTGAGACTTGAAACGATGTAAACTGTATCCTTGTTATATTAGAAGGAAACATATTGTTTTTGCTCAGTTTCCTCTTCTTCTCCAAACATATAAAAAACGTCAATATCTTCAGAACTAGACCTTGGAAAAACTCGAAATTCAGCAAGCTGGTAGATCGGCACATAATACACAGAACCTTGGTCATTTTGTTCGACATAGATGTCAAAAAATGAATTTATTGAGGAAAAAGGGGTGAAAAAAGTTCCATTTTAAGCCCCAAATAGAATTTCAAAACCCGTTTCGAATTTTTGAAATCGGGACAGCCGCAGGTCAATGACCATTAGCACAGGTAACAGTTTTGTTTACTAGTAAAACCTTCAAGCATGTGCAAATGAGAACTGTGTTATCATAGAAATGGTTATCTGTATTTTCACATCCTGGAGATTTTGTCTATATTCATGAATAAAATGACAATATCATGAAAACAGTTTCAGGATATTGTCATAAAGATATTGACATGATATGCTGAAATGTAGACAAGAACTCCAGGATGTGAAAATAGAAGATAGATATTTCTATACGATAGCACCACTCCTTTGTACTGTCAATGGGGAAGGATACATTTTGCACGGCTAGAATGACAACTTACAAGAGCTCTTGTCACTTGAGGAACAGCTACAAGTAAGTATTGAACTTCTATTCAAAAGAGTCAAACTCTGATACAGTGCAGATGTCTATAACTTCATTTGAACCATGTTTAACAAGTGGTTTTATCATGTTTATTTGGATTCGATTCCCGACCGTGTAAAAGTTTGTAAAAGTGCAAATGCATGGCTTTTGATTGCGTGTCACACGACTTTTGATCACTATTGTAGATATGTTATCTATTGTAGATGGAAAGTTATTCGAGATCTGTATTGTAGTTTCAAAATTTCAGAACGATCTGAACAATGTTTGGTTTCAAAGTACCAGGAAGAGAGATCTCAAAATGAATGATGCATAAAATTGGTTTGCATTCATATGGTAATGTATTTGACAACCAACCTTTGGACAAACAACTAAGGATGACACAACCAACAAATGGGATACTAGTATAGCTTGAAAGTTCATTTGTGTTGGTACAAGTCATTATGAAATAAAGACTGAAAATTTGGGGTAAGTCCCATTTCTGTAGTCTAAGTGTTGGAAGTTAAAGCTTAGTCTTTATTTCATAGTGATACCAGTACTCAGCTCAACGCTAAGAGCCTTGTGGACCCCTGGCAAAAATCAAGATAGTATTGGGAGATTAGCCTGACATACATACCTGTATCAGTTCATCTAGATTGTCCGACCCCAGGCCACCCTACAAGGGAAAGAAAACAACAGTTAACATATAGCATTTATATGTAGAATTTTAACATTCCTGGCAAGTAACTTAGTATACACTCTGTTTAGTAGCAATAGAACATGTTTAGTATTATTAGGTACAACTGCTCACTGTACCCTTCATGTATATAGTTTAGTGTAATGTAGAATGTACATGTAGAGTAGAAATATTCTCTAGCCAGCAGTTCTTTATAATACTGTCAGATACAATGTCCATTGACCATATGTATAGCATTATGTTAGACACATACCAACTAGTAATTTTATTATTTGCCATACATTGTACCCGTGACAATCGTTGTGCAATAAACTTTGACTTGACATATTCCTGGCCATTGCTATGCTACTTATTTTTTCAGATGTTGGAAAAAAATGGAAAGCAGTTTACAGAGCAAGAGATGATATTCCATCAATTCTTGGAGCATACCTGTATGTAGTTCTTGTACAGAATGAACTTCAGGCCTCCAAGATTTCTGTGTATGTTTACGTTAGGACACAGTTCTGAAAAACAGAGAGAGAAAAAATGTTCAGAGAGGAAACCAGCAAACATGTGATAAGGCATAGGGAAAAATGTTGCTAATGTGGGAGGGAAAAATATTTCCACTGATTTACTCAATAAAAGTGTCTCCTGTATAAAATAATGGTTCAGAGGGTTTGAAATCAGATGTCTAAAATATAATGGCCTTGCCAACAATTGACCCAAAAATAGCAGGGCAGGTTTTCGCTAGGATCGGTCAAGAAACTAGCAACACAACAGTTTTTTCTTTGGCCTAAGGAAAACTGACTTTATTAACTGTAAGTAATAACAACAGGGTGCCATACCTGGGGGTAGGTTGTATTGCTTGATGAGTCGAGCTGCTAACTTGGTCAAGTGTCGCCTCTTCAGTTTGTCTCTCTTGATGTAGGGAACTGTGCTCTCACTAGTTTCCATAAAATAATTTTAGCAAGGTCATTGTCTTTTATCTTATCAAAATTGATATAGTAACTTTAAAATTACTGTAACGTTAAATTCAAAATTAAGTTTCATGTTTCATACCATGATTACACAGTACACATTCCTGGTGACCAAATACAAATGCAACACATCTCACCATCCAGGGCACAGAGGATCACAACCCTGTCAATCAACTGAAACTCAATCTCCACCCACCCACTCACTTCCAATCCTCACTGCTCAGGAACAAGATACAAAAAAACTTCCAATAAACCAGCGCCACCCAAAACAATACTTCCAGAAGTAACAATACCAATCCCTTACTTTTTTGTCTTTCCATCATTTGACGGAATGTTGCTGCTTATGATGGACAGAAATTTTGCCTCATACTGGTACGTCATTTTTGACAGACAAACGGACAAAAATTGGTGTGTAAAGGTATGGAAAGAGATGTCATTTAGTCACACCAATTTAATTTGTTGGTTCTTGGATTCGCCCACTTCATTTTTTTCTGATTTGCAAAAAAAAAATAATTTCAGGCTCTGAATCAACTCCAAAATGCTCATATTTTGGCCCCAACAGTTGAAGAAAGTCCCTTCTCTTCAGAGTTGTTACAGTTTTTCCATCTATCTATGTAGCGGTTTGGTTAAAAGTTTGAAATTCATTATCATAGGATGCCTAGCCCTGTTTTTATTTTTATTTTTTTGCCCTGTCGCTTCATATTTTTTTCTGAAAAAGTCCGAGAACCAATAAATTAAATTGGTGTAGCCTTAAGCTTAGACTACCAGCAAAATCTGCCCCTCAAAATGCAGGAAAGAGCATTTCAGAGGATCAACACTTCAACATTTTCCCAAAACCCCATAGGGGCTTTGATATAATGTCAAACAACATTGAGATAAGACCACACCAATTTAATTTGTTGGTTCTCGGATTTTTTCAGAAGAAATATGAAGCAACAGGGCAAAAAAATAAAAACAGGTCTAGGCATCCTATTATAGCCCTAAATGCTATGATAGGAGCCATGAAGTCAACACAATATGCTGGGTTAATATATGAATTTTGAGCTTTTAATCAAACCACTGCATTGATAGATGGAAAAACTGTAACACCTGGAAGAAAAGGACTTTCCTCAACTGTTGGAGGGCAAAATATGAGTATTTTTTAGTTGATTCAGAACCAGAATCCTTTTTATTTTTTGAGGCGAATCCGAGAAACAACAAATTTAATTGGTGTGGCCCAATAGGAAAAAAAATTCAGGCAGACTAGAACACTGGTTTCCAGTATTTACCTGAGAAAGTCGTCCATACGGAAGTCTTGTGCACACCAGCTGTCAATCAACTGTACCATCAGTTCCTGAAGGTCAGGGTGACCTTGAATGTAGCTCTCCACCATGTTGACCTTGTCTTGGAGAATCAAGGGCACAGCGATCTATGATGGAACAGTAAGACAAGAGAAGACAAATTTTTTTTATTCATTTATTTGAAAGAAGACTGTAAGGCTTGTACAATGCCCTCCTCCTTTAAACTTTTTTTATTTTTATTTTTATTAAGAATAGCAAAGTATTTATTCACAAACGCTTGTTCAACAAGAGCCAACAAAATTAGTAATTGATAGGAATGTTAATATTTTCCAAATATCTTATTGAAAATGCCACTGCAGTTCGAGAACAAGCTGCTAGAGAGACCATAGCATGTCTAGAACATGACATATCAAAACTAGAAGTTCTGTTGCAGTACCATGGACAGCTGACAGGGCACCATTTCTTGTGAACTTTAGTCAAGTCAACCTTTGAAGTTGTGCTACCTGCCCTCTGCATTTGGATAATATAAATACAGAAAGAATTTAATAGCAGTTTATGAAGAATTACAACGTACCTCATCAAAGACAAAGAACTTTTGAAGCTGTAGCTTGGTTGCACAATGAATGGCCTGTAAGTACAAAGAACAGCAAAGACATAAATGAAAAGAACTCAAAACGAATTTCTCACAATAAGACAGGGACACAGGGTACAACAATTCAATGTTACTTTTCAGGGCATTGTATTGAGACTATCAAGACAAAAAACAAATTCATTGACTCTTTCATTCATTCAAAAACAGCTCTAAAAGGGCATTTAACAAGACATCCAAGATTTCAAACCTAATAGTACATGTAGACATAGCTTGCTTGTGTTAATGAATTACATTGTAGATTGTGTTATTACTCATACAATTGTAACGGGAAACGTAACATGAAAATGCTCTCATATAAGTTATAACACCAAGGTTTATGTTCAAACATCCATGGCAAATCCCTGTCTATCAAGTGAAACCCAATTTCTACCACTCACTTTGGAATCCAAGCATACAAACCTAGCATACATTAATTAGTACCACCCAAAACAATACTGCCATCCCAGAAGAAGAAAAAAAACAGTGTACCTCTTTATATTGCTGCTTGTGTAGGAAGATCTCCACATGTTCTGCTAGAAACTCGTTGCCAGGTCCGATGAGCTGGAAGACTCTGCACAGGGGGTCGAACAGGTTGGCATGTCCCACCATTCCTATCTTCACTGCCTGGATCTTCATGTGGGGAGTTATCTCACAACGTGGACTCTGGAATAAGAAAAGAGTACTCTTTCTCCTGTACTATTTGTTTGTTTGTTTCACATAACCGGTAAACCGCCTTTAGGCATTATAACACACCAGTTTTGTACATGTAAGTACTGTACAAGCTGCGTAAGACCTGACTGTAACTTACAGTGTAAGGTTTGAACCACTCACACCGGGAAGGTCCCCTACTCTTTTCGATAAGTGCGGTGGGTTCTTTGACATGCGTGGGGTGTGGCTCTCCCATACACGGGACGTCCATTTAACATCCTATCCGATTGACATCCCTAACTGAAGCTAGGTACTAATTTACACCTGAGTGAAGTGAGGGAAGTCGTGTAAACTGCCTTTCTTCAAAGAAAAGATTATTGTAAATTTTTTTACGGTAATCTTTTCTTTGAAGAATTGTTTGTTTTAGGTCCTGAATTATGATTAATACAAGGTTGAATTTCCAAAAAGTATCTAAAATTGTAGAACAAAATTTTGACATCAAGCAATATTGCAGAACACTGGGAAAAAAGTAAAAAAGTATTTCTTCTACTGCTTTCGTGCCTGGAAGTAAAAAGTACCCAGAATGCTCACCCTTCCCATGGTGCATTGCCTCCTGAGCCAGTTCTCGTACTCCGTGATGACGTGATTGGCCAGTGAGTAGGACTTGGCGGCGCGCAGTCCCCGACTTTCCTCCATCAGGTACAGGGTGAAACAGTACGGGTTAGACACCATCGCAAACCCTTCCTGAAACAGGATTAAGTTTCAGTTTGAGTTCATTTGGATCCATACATAGTTGCCATTCTTCCCGTGCCCCTTCATTTATAGTAAAATTATACAACAAGTTACATAACACACCAGGGCATGCCCCTACTCTTTTTCGAAAGGTGTGGCCAGTTCTAACGTGGCTGGGGTGTGGCTCTCCCAAACACGGGACCTCCATTTAACGTCCTATCCGAGGGACGTCCCTAACCGCGAAGCTAGGTACTCATTTCCACCTGAGTGAAGTGAGGAAAGTTGTGTAAAGTGTCCTTTCCCAAGGGCACAAGATCGGTGACAAGGTGGGACTCAAACCCGGGAATTCTTGGTTCTGAGCCGAACATGCTACCGCTATGTAGGGCTGCGTACCGGTTCACTGGACTTGGATCCGGACTTGTAATAATGTTTAGGTTCAAGTCCAAAAAAACCTAAAAGTCAAGAACCGAGTCCGGACTTATTACCATAAAAGACCATTTCACATACCCCATTTCTTTCCAAACCACCTAAAACCTTCCGTAGAATGCAAAATCTTTGCTGCAAAATGAAGAAAACATTGCCATTGGGCATCATAAAGTGTCAGCCTTAATGTTATGTGGCCAAAGTTTTGCCCAAACAACATTGCAAGGTTGCCAACATGCAATTTTGTATATGCCATGGGTTTAGGTCCGGACTTACAAGTCTGTATAAAACATTTGGGATTGGATGGGAGGTTCAAAACACAGAAACACCTGGCTACCAATTCTCTGTTGGCTTCAAATTCAAAGTTACGTAGGAGAAGGTTAAACAAATTATGGAGAAGAGACAAAGAAACTTCTAATCTTGTAAGTACCATCTAAATGATTTTGGAAACTTAACCTTCTCTCTGCTACCTAACCCTATCACCAATACTAATTTGGTGCCAAATGGCTACTTTAGCATGCTGCAGGTTAAGATGAGACTTTAAAAATTCTTACCTGAAGTAGTTCAGCGGACCTTTTGAACCATTTGTTAGCCCACAGCACATCTATATCCTCATACCACTCCCTCCATGTGTACTTCCGCCGATTGACCTTCATCTTCAAAATGGCCTCCCCACGCGCTACCAGTTCCCGCGATACTTCATCCTTCCTCTCCGCCATTCTTTCCTCTTCCGTTTCTTTCGTGTTTCGCTCTTTAGTTCTCTCTAGGTTGGCTAAGAAGGTTGGAGATACGTCGGGGATGGAGTTAGGTTTGGAACGCTGTTCTGGAATTTTTGCGTCAACTTTTTCGTCAGCAGTTCTACTATCTTCGGTAGTATCCTTTTCTGTTGCAGAATCTTGAAGCCAATCGTTGTCAGGTACCTCTACTGGGAGTCGCCAAGTCCGACTGCCTTTTGTTCCTAGATTTGTGTCCTGAGAGCAAACATTTTCACCTTCTTGAGTCTCCTGTTTCTGATCTTTTGGTTCTAAGGTGTCTTGCTTTGTTGAACTGTCTTCTTCACTACACAGTGCTGTAGTGGGTACAAATCAAAATTTGTTATTGGGGCCGTGTGTGTGTGTCCGGAGGGGGGGGGACAGGGGTATCCAAAGGAAGACAGAAGAAAAATGTCCAGACTATGCATGATGTACAAAATGACTAATAAACTGGTGGATGTCCCAATTACTAAGTACCTAATACCAGCCCAGAAGAGAACAAGAAATAGCCATGCCTTCAAGTACCAGAGTTATCAACCGAGGATTGAGGTGTTCAAGAATTCATTCTTTCCTAGAACTATCGCAGAGTGGAACTCGCTGTCACCAAGTACAGTAGGGGCATTATCATTAGATAGCTTTAAACAATGCCTAGAGTTAGACATTCAAGGGTTAGGTGTAACAAGTCGATCGGTGTAATGTAGCCAGCTGCCGCCGCGCCGCGTGCCTGTGAAGCTGGTATGTTATGATGAAAGGTGGTTATACCGGCTATACAGATACAGATAATGCTCTAAGTGAATAGGCAGGCTATATCCCAGGGATAATGAACAAAAAAAATCATCTAAAAACTGCTAAAAATTATAGCATACTTGTTGTAATTTGCTTCATTCATATTACTAGTATATCTTCATGATTCACTGGCCTTACATTTCATATTTATCAAATAGACAATAATGGGAAGCGATAATTTGAAACAATGCAAATCATAAAAGAAGTTACACATAAAGTAAAATTATTTACGACTCACATACAGGCAGATAGCCTTCTATTAAACACTGAGAGACTCTCAAAGTAACGTTACATGTAACTAGTATATGGTATGGGGAGGGGGGCGTACACTAAACACGTTACCTCTGGTGTTCCTCTTCAAAAACCACGATTCTGTAAGATTTCTCAGAGTGTCCCGAAGGAGGATATAACATATATGAACAAACGTAATCATCTTGAGTTCTAAAAGTTATTTTCCTGACGTTAAAAACAGCAAGAAATTGCTCCTGAATTTCGCAAGGATTTCGTAAGTTTCCGCAACATGTCGGGTCAGAGGTCATGAGTGCATCACAATGTAAAGTACTTACGAGAATCTGAAGTGGAAAGTAGACAAATACAACAAGGTTAACCTCCTTGACCTCCTCAGTAAAATCCTAAGATTATCAATGAAATATATTATATAAAGGATGATATTTTGATCAACGATGTGGGTATTAGGCGGATTTCGTAATATACAAAATTGTTTGCGTTTGTTGTAGTCAAACTCCAAAAGCGTGAAAAAGAAAGACCATGATCATGAAAATAAACACACATTTTCCTTGATCTTTTCACGTATTCCGACAACATTAAACCACTATAAACCACTACAACATAGTGCGTGCATATAGATGTCTCTGCCCATTGTACGTGCAGTTGTGTGAATGTCTATAATCAGCATAAAAAGATCTAAAAACTCCCCAAAAGTTGAGACAAAATTCCGGGGCAACTGAAACTTCATAAACCAAGCCAAATATTTGAGCACTTGAACTGTTTCCAAAGTTGCAAGACTGTCAAAGTTTACTTACCTGATAGACGAAAACAACGTTTCCAACTCTCTTGAAGAAGATAATAACTGAAATACGGCAATTATAAGGTCTGAAATTATGTTGTTGTTGTACATACACTGACCGAAACAAGTCCCACACTCAGCTTCACCGTAAGGATTGTTACATTTGTTGGAAAGGGGGGTCTTTATTATAATGTCTACGAGAACCACTTTCATGAAAGATGCATAGCAACTTGAATGGTACAATGACGTTGTATATAGATAACTTGTTAATAGCATATTACAACACAAAGCTGATGTTGGTTTTATGTTAGCTTGTACCAATTTTAACACACCCCTACGTTTACATGAATGGTATCGTCACACGTGCCTTTTTAACCCCATGGGACTTTTTCAGATTTTTTGTCTTGGACGAGCTGACTCTTGTATAGGGGTCATATTCATGCATATACTTAAATTAAGGACGTTTTATAGACGCTTAAATTAGGTACTCAAAAACTTGCTTGCGAAAAATGTTTACCCCTATGTTAGAGTTATGCTGTAGTACCGTACGTAACCGCTAGGAGGTATCCATTTGCGTTGGATACTTGGATTTGATCTTCTGTCTTTGCGGCCACGGAAAGATCTGCTTGGAGATTTACAGAGGAATAGAGTAGTAGAGAAAAGAGTTGGATATACAGTTTTAGCTCCATGGATATACATATATAGTCTATTCAGCGGCGTTAGTATCAAATATAAACGTATCGCTTTATACAAAATAAAACATATTGTTTTTGCTAGCTCCTTTTCTTCTTCTTCTTCTCCAAACCAATAAGGTCAATGATTGACCTGAAACAGACGTCTGTCAACATGGTAACTAGTGTTGGATTACATCATGTTGCAATTTTATAGCAGGATTTAGACTCGAGCTCCTGTCTGACCATATACTAGTATGTGAATGTGTTTGATCAATTGAGTAAGAATTAACAGAGCATACCGTTTGCGAAAGCTAAGTAAACATTATGCATGCATTTGCTTTGCAAATGTTACCTTTCTAGTTTAACTTATATCACAATATAATGTCTTTGCTTTATATATTCAGTACGCTGCACTACTGTATCTTAGTGCAATGCACGTTATGAAGTGCGATGAACGTTAGACATCCAGGTAAAGAGATACACAAGAAACCTGTTACTGAAGCGACTTATAGATTTTGGAAACTGTCAGAATTTCCCGTGAGTAGAATCCACTCACAAGAAGTAGTGGATGCAACTTGAAACGTCTGGCAGTTTCCAAAACCTATCCAGTTTCTTGAGTTTTCTTGTAAGGCCACACCAAGTAAATTTTATGGATGACGTCCTTTGGAGACCCTAAATCTAATGCGAGAGGGCGAAAAAAAAACAAGAAGGGCCCTTAAAAACAAGATGCCTAGATTAGAAATATACTAAGAGACGACAAATGTTAGGACACAAATTGAATGAGGTGACACAGTGTAACAAGCAAGAAGTCTTTTATTCATCATCAAAACAGCAATAAATCAGGAGGAACAGCAGTTGTCGTCCTGTCCTGTTTCTTTCATCACATTTTTGCAGGCCTGCAGAAACAAAGCATAAAATTGCGGCACTGTCGTCATAGTTACAGGAAGCGGAATTTCTTGTTTTTTTTTCTAGGAACAGGCCAAAATCAATGCGCGCGCGGACGTCATCCATAAAATTTACTTGGTGTGGCCTAATATTGTGCACTGTAACGTTACAGTTATAGTGTACAATGTGAAAACCTTGTCATCTGTCAACCATCAAAGACTGCAGAATTATCGTGTGGCTGTTAATTACTTGTATGGCTTCGGTGCCAACGTCTTGACACTGCATAGCACTACACCGAGGTACACCAACATGGCGGCCGCCTGTATTACGCAAGCCCCGTGACGTCACGTGAAAGCCGAGAATATGCATTTATTGCCTTCGTCAGAAGGGTATGTTTTCGGTCTGTGCCTGGTGGGGCAGCTAGCTGTACATGTGATGTGGGTCTGTATGTAGGTCAACGTCTTAACTAGTAGCAAGGACGTTGTGGATGGATCTTATTGATTTTTGGCAGTATCTGTTGTGGAAACGAAGGTCAAGTTCAAAAATGGTCCACCTGGCTTTTTGTAAAGGTACTGCAGCGCGCTTTTTATGCATTTGTTGATTATGTGTTCTGCATAACTCGAGAAGCTGTCAATGGGTGGAGAATTTGATCAAAGGATGCAAATGCAAGTGAGGATCTTATATTACCATAATCAATGTGAAAAAGTCTTAAAATTTGTCAGTCGTTAATGTTAACGTCGATATCATTTGGCGAAGGCATGCGTAACTCTATATCGCTGTCAGTCTCAATTAAGACTATGACTTTTCTTTACAAACAAACAAACAAACAAACAAACAGGATGGCTCGATTCCTAATTTTACAAGCAAATCAAATTCGAGCCTAAATTTAAAGTCAACATAAAATCTATCTAGTCTCAAGGACATAATTCATTATACAGATGTATAATGTCCTTGGTTTGATAAAAGATGAACATATATGCATGCACGCCACGTTTCCATGACGCTGAATATACGTCAACGGATGTCGACTGCCGACTCCGCAAATGTCACAGAAGGTGATTCAAGGAGAACCACGTCTCTGCTGTGTATTTAACACAGAGCCGGGGCTTAAACATTTCAAAGCGTTTGCTAGACTGGTAACCTCTCGGGCCGGCTTAGGGGAGTCTTACCGGCTCCAGTCGCTTTCAGAGCTAGACAATCTCGTCCAGCCGGCCTTTCATATGATCACTGCATTCGGGAGCGGAGAGATAGAAACCGGCACCGTAAAAATTCCTTTCCCGGTGTATGCTTTTAGACCTTAGCGGCCGCATTACCCTAGCACTGTAATGCACTTTATTACCTTCGCCAAGAAGGTTATGTTTTCGTTGGCGTTCGTGTGTCTGTGTGTGTGTGTGTGTGCGTGTGTGCGCGCGTGTGTGTGTGTGTGTGTGTCAACACGATAACTCAAGAAGGCTAAGATGGATTGTCTTGATATTTGGTAGGTAGATAGGTCTTCATGAGACGTCGAGCTGATTAAATTTGGGGCCCCCTAGCGGCTTTTTGTGGTACTGCAGCTGAACTTCCGGTTTTGATATCTCATGATCTAGACATGCTACGCTGATGAAATTTGGATGGTAGGTAGCTCTTGTGCTGGGAAAGAAGTGACGTGAGTTTGGGCTGCAACTGCAGGGCTATCTGTTTGAAAGAAGAGTAGTTTGGAATTTACCAAACTAATGGAGATCTTAACAAACAAACAAACTGTAGGAGAGATACTCTCCAAGCAGAGGTTGTGGGGGAATGATCGTTAGCTTTTTATATATGACCGTTTTTTTTTGTCGCTACGACCTTCTCTGGCTAGTGGATACTGTCTTGCTACCGAAAGGGATCTGCTTGTAGATTTGGAGAGATACCTGGCCGGAAATATGTTTTGTCTGTCCTGTTTTCTAGGGCAAGTTTCAATGTGTACAAGTACGTATCTATCAGACAATCAGTCAACTTTTACTGCGCAACAATATTGGAACGGACACAATGTGCAGGGTATGGCAAATTGGTAAACAGTAGTAGATAACTAGTCTAAATATCTACACCAGTATGATTTCGCGTATTAATGTTTTCTTTTTTTCGTTTCTTCGTAATTTGTGATTCCCTTTTCTTTCTCTATTTTGTTTTCTGTATACAACATCTTCCTTTGAATATTATTTACTGTTATTTTGTCAAATAAAAAAAATATCTACACTATTCTATTTCTATTGAGCAGGAACTACGTCATAGCCCAGGGTACCATCCTGCACTGGTTAGTTTACATCCGCTCCATATCTAGTCATTACTACATTCATGTACTAATGTACCAGCATGATAATCAAAATACACAGGAAGACAATGTATACATTAAACGCTTGTGTCTGAGGTTATACAGCCTATTTTCCGTAGAGGCCTAGATATAAGGACATCGGGTCAGGGCATGACATACTAGTAGGCAGCCTCCCGGTTTTTACAACTGATTGTGTTCATTAATTATGTTTACCGAAGGAAAACATATTGTTTTTGCACTGTTTTCTCTTCTTCCGTTCCAAACAAAAAAGGTCAATGACCTGAACCAGACGTCTGTCACCAAGGTAACTGGTGTTGCGTTACATCATGTAGCAATTTTATAGCAGGAGTGATTTAGACTCCTGTCACCATACATATGAACGTGTTGGAGCAAGAATTAACAGAGTAGACCATATGTGATGGTAAACATTATGCATTTGCTTTCCAAATGTTACCGTTCTAGTTTTCATAATTTTTTTCAAACATTTCAGACACGTTCTTCGCTAATACTAATCGTGATAGCATCCACATGATTGGTAGGAGCCCTTAGGAGATTGGAAATGAAATCAAAATGTATTAAGGGCGGCATACGTAGCTTAACAGGTTTGTCTAATTTCCGGCCATACGTCTGAAATTGTTCATATGCATGTACGGACGTCATAAGTCATATGCTGCCGTTCTGAAGAATTTGACCGTCTTCTGTTAGGCTTCATAAGCTGTAGAATTGAATTGAAATTTGAAAATTCGGAATACAGTGTGCCACTGGGCTGATTACCATAACGTAAAAGGCATCCAATGCAATTTTAGGGTGGCAAAATAAAAAGAAAATATTCTGGATCTTGTCTAGACATTTACTGTCATTTCTTAGCTCATTTTCGTCATGTCATTCCATACCTCAAGCCTTTGTGATAGGCCAAAACAAGCTGCATGCATGCGAGGGGAGTCTCCCATAAAGATCTAGAACCGACCTACGGTACAAAACAACCTGTTTTCCGTCAGCGACCTCGCATTTTGTTCAAAGAATGACCGGAAAATTGACTGTGAAAATCACGCGCGCATTTTGCTACCCTGAAATTGCATTGGATGCATTCAACATGCAAAAATCTCAAATCTTGAAATGGCACGTTGGCGATTTTAGTTAGTATCATAAGACGATCGAGGTACGGTAGATTGCGATAGGGTCAATGACCTTTCTGATTTCTCTTTGATATCTCCATAATATATGATATTACGTCAAAAATCTTTAATCGTTTTTGATGTGATTTTCAACCTCCTAAACTTCCCTGGCCCCAATCTATTATAGAAAGCGGCTACGATGGAAGTAGCAGAGAGAGTGTTTGAAATGCTTGGCTCTGGAAGTAATCATCAAAATCATTGAACATGGCATGTTCCGAGACACAGGTCAGTGACCTGAAAACGGCACTTCAAGTCTTCGGCCCATTTCCCACTAGTATTTTTAGAACTGGATGAAGCATAATAGATTAGAGAGAGAGAGAAAGAGAGAGAGAGAGACAGAGAGAGAGGGAGGGAGAGAGAGAGAGAGAGAGAGTCTGAAATGTTTGGCTCTGGAAAAATCATCAAAATCATTGAACATGGCATGTTGCGAGACACCAGACGACCAACGTGTTGTAGGTCATTGACCTGAAAACGGCACTTGAAGACTTCGGCCCCTTCCACTTGTAAGATGTTTAGTATCGAAGCGAAAATAGATTCGCTTTGAAGTGGGAGAAGGGCCTATTCACGTACTTAGTCGAGATAGATAGATAGATAGATAGATAGATAGAGACAGCGACAGACAGAGACAGACAGACAGACAGAGACAGATAGAGAGAAAGAGAGAGAAAGAGACAGAGAGAGAGACAGACAGAGAGAGAGAGATAGAGACAGAGAGACAAAGACAAACAAGACAGACAATTAAAAAGACAGAGACAGAGAGAGAGAGAGAGACAGAGACAGACAGACAGAGCTAGAGAGAGACAGAGACTAACAAAAAGACAGACAAAAAGACAGAGACAGGTAGATAGAGGGAAAGAGAGAGAGAGTGAGAGAGAGAGGGGAATAGAGACCATAAAATGAAGGCCAATAGAGAGATCAGAAGGGTCATTGACCCCCATTTACCATATCTGAATTCATTCGCAGCGGGACGTTCATTCAAGGTTTTTGACGTGACATCATATATCACTGGGGCTATGAGACAAATCAGAAAGGTCATTCACCCTACTCACTTGCGCTAGATGACGTCAAATTATGAAAGCTAAACTTGCCGACGTTCCGGATCCATTTGATTTCATCAACAGTAAGGTTTTTGAGGTAACATCATGTATGAAAAATCATAGATATCACTGATATGAGTCTTAGACACAAATCAGAAAGGTCATTCACCCTACACTTGCGCTAGATGACGTCAAATTATGAAAGCTAAAATTGCCGACGTTCCATTTGATGTCATCAATAAGGTTTTTGAGGTAACATCATATATGATATTATCATATATCACTGAGTCTAAAGAGACAAATAGGAAAGGTCATTCACCCCATAATTTATCTGCCTACTCACTTGCGGCTAGATGACACAACAAGATTATGATAACTAAAGTCACCGACGTGCCATTTGATACTATAACTATTAAAGGCTTTTGGAACACAGATTACGTTACAGTGGTGAAGTAAAATTAAACCAGCCCAGGGACAATTTTAAACTGTAAAAATTTAATCTAATTCAATTCAGCAGCTTATAAAATACAATGGAGGACGGGAAGGTTTTTAGACGTACGGGGTTTTAGTGTGTAAAATGAATAATGTAAAATATGTGACCAGAAATAAGGACCTGACATTAATGGACATTTATCATATAGGTAGTTTGTGAATTGTTTCCAATTTCCGGCCATATGTTTATACCATATTATAAATGTAAAATCATATGCTCACGAATTCGGCATCGTTTCTGACGGACGAAGTTTTTAGTGAAAGTTGCAAGGACATACATAAAACATGATAAAATAATAAGCAGTAAAAATTAAATGATCTGTTTTGCGAGATGTATGAATTGGAAGAAATGCAATTTTTTTTTGTAGGCTGGGAAGGTGAATAAACCTAGGAAACATTTTGGTGACCATTTCAAATAACTTCCTCTCTTTCGGTGCTATAATGAGGGCAATAAGCAAATAAAGTGCATTTCATAGTGAAATATAAGTGAAATATAATGAAATTCATGCCACGTCGTTGGCACTAATTATCACAATTAATCAAATAACAATTTGAAACAATTATGTCAAGTGAGGAAGAAAGAGGGGCATGCAACTGATAGGAGAATAGTATCAGAAAATGGAGCAGAAAACGGACAAGGGAAACTGGCTATCTGATAATTTGTGGTGCCCCAACGGTCGAATGATTGGACTAAAAGGGTACTCTCTAAGCAGAGGTTTGGGTTTTGGCTTATTTTTGGCGTGTATTTAGGCTTTTTTTAAGTCGGGGTTTGCTTCTTTGCACTGTTGGGTTGGCGTAAAAAAAATTCCAGTGCAAAACTGAGAAACCCCGATAAAAAAAATCCTAAAAACTGGCCAAAAGAACAAATTTAACCCAAACCTCTGGTAATAGATTAGGCCACACCAAGTAAATTTTATGGATGACGTCCTTTGGAGATCCTATATCTAATGCGCCGAGAGGGCGAAAAAAAAACAAGAAGGGCCCTAAAAACAAGATGCCAAGATTAGAAATATACTATGAGACGACAAATGTTAGGACACAAATTGAATGAGGTGACACAGAGTAACAAGCAAGAAGTCTTTTATTTATCACATTTTTGCAGGCCTGCAGAAACAAAGCACGTGCTCTTTACCCATTTCGCGTTACGGGTTTCGCGTCAATCTAACGATTTGCGGAACTGTCGTGACTCTTTGGTCATAGTTACTGGAAGCGGAATTTTTTACTTGTTTTTTTTCTAGGAACAGCCCAAAATCAATGCGCGCGCGGACGTCATCCATAAAATTTACTTGGTGTGGCCTTAGATGGGAAATTTAGGCCATGGGGTCAATGACCTAATTTCTCTCATTTTATGCGATCTGCTTTCTTTGATGTATTGCTTCTCTAATATCATCATGACATTAACGTTACGTCCTTTGCTTGAGGGCGAATTATGGGACCTGCCAAATTTGCATTTAGAAAAAATGAAGGGGCGTCGATATTTTTTCGTTTGTGTGGTCTATAGTTTGTGGAAACAACTTTCACTTCACTTTCACTTCATTTATTTACATAACAAAGTTATGTATATAGGATATTGCACTCAGGTCATTTGACCTGTTTCTCAAACAATCCTGTTTTTTTAAAAACAATATTTTGGTTTTATTTCTTTGGACACTTTATGCCATGTTGATTCGATTATATGGATGGCATCCTCTGGAAACCCCAAAACTGATGCGAGCGTGCGAATAAAAAAAAGGTTTGGCCAAAAAAAGTTGCTTTTATTATGAAATCTACGTGGTCTTGAAGGTTGAACAAATGACATAGAGTATGGTATGGCCAAGGACATTATACACATATATTATGTGTATAATGTCCTTGGTATGGCGAATTATTTACTCTTTAAAATCATTTATTTACATTTTCGTTTGATTTTGGCATTCTACGACATTGGTATCGTTTTCAAATATTTTCTTTTCAACCAACGGTAAATTTTGAAAGTGTTTTGTACGATTTACAGTAACAGTTATGGTTGAAAATTTTTTTTGGGGAAACGGCCGAAAATTCATGCGCGCGGATGTCATCCATATAGCTAATCAAATCAACATGGCCCTAATTAGTTTTCAAGCAAAGCAACTGGCCTATTTTTGTTCTGAGGAATTGGCCTGGGATTTTAATTCTCATCTGTATATGACAAGTAACCGTTAAAACGTTGTTATAATATGCTCAGATGTTTCAAGGACACTATTATTGCGCTAGCAACCAACCAGAAATGGGAGACATAAGAGTCAAGGAGATGTAAGAAAGATTTAAAGCTTCCAAAGCCAAAGCTAGAAATCAAGAAATCTGGAAAAGCCGCCAAAAAACCTAACCAAGTGGACAGATGTTTGTTGTTCGTCCTTGATGAAGGAATTGGGTCGACCAGGTCACGTGACAACTGACCTCTCGCACGCACGAGCCCCTACTTGACAGCATCTAAACATCACAACTCAGTAAATCAAGAAGTTACTCGTCCCATAAACATAAACAACCAATTAATCAACATATTACCACACAACATACCTTTGTATAAAATTGACACGAAAATACAATTAAGAACGTAATTATCTCATCACAACTTTGCTACGAATTTTGGGTTTTGGTTGTTAGCGTTTTGATGCGATGCGCACTGCTATTTATTATTTATTCACTGGAGCAGGCGATGGTGGAGTGGCAGGTTTTTCAAGGACGTCTGTCCGTATATTTGTGCTAGAATCCCAATTCCCCGATCGTTTGCCTCAAGAACGGCTCTGGCGTGGCAGGTAAGGATCATATCTTGGCAGCCAGACTGTCACATGTCTCCTTGTAGCCCGTGGTGGAACGTGAAGAACGTTTTAGTGGGCCATATTCCGCGGCCCTTGCTGCGGAGAGCAAGGAAGATTTTCTGGGCTAATTTTTTTTACCTCGACGATACTGCCAGCCCGTACTTTGATAGCTCATTCTATTGTCAAGAATAGGACAAAAGGTGAGGTAGTATATACGGTAATTTCTTTGGCTTTGTTTTGGGGAGAAATACATGCCGGATATCCTGCATGGGTTACCATATATGTTATATCAAACACGGTGCTGCGTACTAGTATATAATTTTATGATCATTATGATGCAAAGATCTGTATCTGTATAACCGGTATAACCTAGCCTCAATCGGGCTTCAGAAGCGGCTGGAAAGAGCAGAAATTGGGCAAATAGCCAGGAGAGTTTGCCGCTCTGAACTGTACTCTTGAACTGAACTGGATGGATACCTACCTGGCTGAAAGAATCTACTATAATCTACTATTTAGCGGGCTGACTTTTGGCATGTTCTCTGTCTTTTTGCGGCTATACAGGGCTCGAAATTCATTTTTAGGAATACATGTCACCTAAAAAATTGGGTGCACAAAAACATTTTTGGTTGCACCATATAAGTAGAATGTAATATGACGTTTCATTTCTAAAGAAAAGTGCCATAAGAATGATTTTATTATTTTTCTGCTCTTAGATGTAAAGAACAATTGCTGTATACTACTATACATTTAACAGTTCCTAGTGAATTCTTTCATCAGTGACAACTTTGGAAGGATAAGGATACTAACCTCCAAATTTTCGATGGCTATCAGTCCATCTTGTTCACGGAGTGGCCTAATCTCGCGAGAGCGCGAGACTAGGCCCGAGACTTGCATCGGTCTGAACAAGATGGACTGATAGTGATAGCCATCG